AGCCTAGATAACTCCGTTGTCCGTTTGTTAGGGTACTGTCCCGGCATTCGCGTAATGTTGAAAGCACAGAATTAGAATTCTCCTTTAAATAGCGACTGAACTCGATCTAGCTGAGTAGCTAGTGCCGAAAATCCTGCCAGTGTCGGGTCTCCAACTCACGACCTCCCGGGCAGCAGCACTGCAGCGACGTTCGCTGAGTCATCTCTCCCGGTAGAAATTCGTCTTATGTCTACGTATGCAAACAACTGAAAATACAAATAAAGAGATTTCATCTTTTGTTTCTTATTAACTTAATCCTGATCATGAAGTTTTTTAAGCTCTAAAACACGCTGCTTACAATCCTTTTGCGGAATATTTTCTCAAACATCAACTACCTCTTGCAATAGACAATAAGAATGGTCTAATTGCAGGTATGCGTGTTACGTACGTCTTAATAAAGTCGGTGCAATGAATAGGAGGTGACGTATTAGGGTAATGGGTGATGGGTTGAAACAGCAAGATCGCCACAGGTGTTTTCTCTGCTTGCGTAGCCGAAATGCATTATTATTCTATGTACGTTTTCAGGAATGGAAATTCCGAAACTAATGAAATGCAAGTACTTATACATTATTTTTTAGTAAAAACAAAGTGATTACAGAGAAATATACGGTATAACTTGGATACCTCAAGATGCATATACGAGCTTAAATGGTAACCATAGGGTTTTAAGAACAAATCAAATACAGCAACTGCTATTGCTCAAATCCTCTTAACTTGGTACTATTATATCCTTAGATTTCCATATGATAAAGCGGTATTTACAATAATATTACTATTTACTTCGTGTATAATTATTACACTTCACTTCTTATGAGAACTTGGATCTAATAACAGCTACTTTTAAGTACTTGGAAAGCTCCTAAATTCACATAAGTTTACATTTTTTAACGATTAACGACGGCGTAAACAAACAGCGTAAATTCCCCTAATGTGTAATACGCTCCTAAAGTGAAATACCGAAGTATCAAACATGTAATGAGCTGATATCTCGAGGCAAAATTTCGGAATTACATCGACAAGGCCCCTGATCGAGCGTAGATCATGTTTTTTGAGTTGCAGCTCTCGAGTGAAGTTGCGAGCGTGTTATCTTCAGAGCGTCGCAAAAAATATTGGAGCAGTAAACAAAAGAATTTTTTTACTCGTGAGCCGTAAATACTAGAATAATTATCTATAGAGTATGTGTTAGTTGTATATCTAAGGAAATATCACAGAATATGTAGAGCATTGACGCAGATTTTGACCACGAAATAGCATGAAAGCAATATGGCCGCTATGTCCCTAATGTGGAATACGAGCATTGTCCTAATGCAGAATATGTCGCATTGCTGCTGAATGTAAAATGTACATATGTATATATATATATATATATATATATATATATATATATATATATACATTTATTTTGGCTGTATACATTACATTGCGTTTTCTAACATATTAATGTTAATATTATATACCGTGGAGGTGTATGGTACAACAGCTCAACAGATTAAACTCAGGTTCAGAACCGGGCTCATGACCCATGTGCAGGAAGTCGGGAAAATAAGTTCGTCTATAGGATTGGTCTGTAATAGTAAACCAAATATGTATAACCTTTTTTAATAACGAAATATCATGAATTTCTAATACTCTAAGTGAATAATATGAACCAGGCGTGTTTATAAATGACTAGTTTATGTCTCCACTAGACTGCAAATTTGCTCTTATTTGTGAAATTGTAGACAAAAATGTAAAAAGTATTCCACATTCGAGCACATAATTCTTTTAATGTTTCTCCTTGAACCAATAATTTGACAAATCGGAGGAAACGCTTTGATTTACACCAATTGGACCCAATTGGTGCGAACATTCCGCACTTTGTAAATCATTGATTAAAACAAAAACAAAAAACAAAATAATTAAAGACGTTGTCATTGCCAACAATATTATTTAATGCAATAGCAGCTTTTGATGGCTTAGCCATCATCATCAGTTGTCTGCTAGATGGAAGCCACAAAACGACTACGGGTAGTCGTTTTGTGGCTTCCATCTAGCAGACAACTGATATTGTTGGCAATGACAACATCTTTAATTATTTTAAAAATGCCAAAGATATCTTACCACAACACCTATAACAAAAAACAAGCTTCCTACTGGTACTAAACTTCGAACAGTCAGCTCCTGAACTGTTTTCAGCTCCCGCACTGTTTTCTCCGTACGTAAATAGGTTTGGGAAATAAACTGCATATTCGACAATATTCTAATATTGATGAGATACTATTAACAGAAAGCCTTATAATTGAACCACTGCGATTGAATTGCAAATACAAAGAAAAAGACAGATCTCGAGAATCTGACGTTTCTAATCGCTCGTGCTCCGGAGGGGAATACGCAGAAGGTGTTATCGAAGGCCCCGAGATCTCATTTTGTAGATCTGTGTAAAAAACAAATAAGGCCGGCCTGTATAGGATATGTCGCGAAAGATAAGAGCCGTAGCTGCCTCCTGCATGAAAGTTCGCGGGTTCGAATGCCGCCCGGGACATGGATGTCTGTACACCGTTACCCCCAATGTCACTTGCAGTGGTCGCTATATGACCTTAGTAGTTGAAAAGCGCTCTTGCATAAATGCTCGGAACCCGGAGGACTGGGTTTTAATGGTCGAGGACGCACGCACTCAGTGTCATACTCGATCGCAATACTCTTGCAGCGTAACGCGTGTTTGGGTCGCCTGCTGATTTATTTATTGCATAATATACAACATACTACATTTTTGGTTAGTAATCTATTGTATGCACACCTGGGAGTAAGTCCCTATTCAGCAATAAGAGTAGGGATTACAATCCCTTGCTACATTTATTATGCTAAGCCAATGTTTATTTGAACGTTTTGCATAGGACGCTTCGCCAATTATTGGAGTAAAGACAGAGAAGAGGAAGAACGAAATTAAGTGTAAAATGTATGTTCGTTGTCACTACCCCTTCACCTTCTTCAACAGCTTTGAACCATTTAAAATGTTTTTTTTTTAAATTTTTTTTGTTTTTATAAGTCCTGGATTTTACTTCACAGAAACAAGTAATCTACAAATGTTTATTATAGTAGAGAATCTGAATTTTTGGATTTCGTTTTACTATTCCCAGAAGAAAAAAAAGATTTGCATTTTTCCATATCGAAGAGTAATTATTGAAAAAATATCAGTAAAAATCAGGTGACAACAAGAGTGTCTACTGAAGAAAAATGAACGTGATGATCGACTCATTAAAGGTAAAGCTTTCTTTCTTTTGTCAAAAAAATGTCTGAGATGTTTATTAACATTGCTTTGAGATACTTTTGAAGAATTTTAAGAGTAAATATAAATGTGGTGAGCGAAAAGACTGAGGTATAAGTTTTGTTCCTTTACTTAATTAAAATATATTCATTGACTCAATAATAACAATAATATACGTTAAAAACTTGATAAATAAAAGCATTAACATAGTACGCCTGCTCAGAGACACTAGTTAAATACGAGTCTTTCTGTTAGTGACAACTGGGGACATGTCCAGAGCGACAATGGGTCAAAACAATAATTCTCCACTAGTATGTCTCGACTTTTTAATGTATCAAAAAGTTCTAAATGCCTCATTTTATTTTTATATTATTTTTTCCACTAGAGAAAACTAAATAACTCACTTTATACTCACTACACCTTTAATACCTTTAATTTTTACTAACTGGATCTGTTCGTGAAACTTTAGATGATTATTTACTGCATTAATATGCTTTAGCTACCAATAACTGATTTAAACAATATTAACAACGAAATTGGATTTATTTTGAGCATCAAACAACGGCAGATTTCAAAAACCCTGCCTGCCACAATATCGCGTTTTCAGAACTACGACGTACTACCCGATTTCGAGGAAATTTCACAGAAAGCATTTTGAAAGTTAAGCAGTGAATGATAATGAAAGGCAAATCTTATCAATCCAAAATTGTTTTTTCTTAGTTTTGTTTTCTTTCTCTATTTGAAAACCGTTTCAAAACGTTGTAGATTAACATTGGCGAATTCGAACATGTCAAATAGAACCATGTCACTCTGTCCCGCGATACCGCGAGAGAGTCGTCAGGTGGGAAAGGTTGGGAGTCACTGGGTAAAAGCGGCGCATTCTGGGCCGTGGGCGGGTCGGCCTGGGCCTTGGGAAGGCAGTAATTAAGGGCCGGTGGGGGCGAGGCTACCCGCCACCCTCGCCCCATCTTCAGCCCTTCCCGGCGCCCCCGCCCACCCGGCGCAGCACGGCGGCCGGGCCCACCGCCCACGGACGCCCGCGCACCGCCTTTTATCGACTAACATATGAACACCCGTTGACGCAACGTTTGACGAAATCCTCTGCGAATTCGAACGCAAGGCCCATGATGCGCTCGCGGTTCGGTTCCGCAAAAGGGATCTTGGTTGAGAAATGCTTCGTTTGGATTATTTCTGTGACCATTTCGAATTTATCTCGGCTCTGTCTTGGCCACTGACTCAGGCGCTAATGTTGGTTTTCATGTTGTAATAAAAGTAAATCAATTACATAATGCCATCTTTTTCTGATGGTGACTGTCAAGAACGTTCCCACAATTTTCACGCATATTATTAAAAGAAGCAGGTAAACTTTAACACATAAATGACGTGAAGGAACATATCACAAACATCTGGATCAGTACATGCCCTTACCCTACACCACACCTTTACATTTCTGAAAAAAAAAAAAAAAATCATATTACTCTAGTGAATGTCGGTTAACTTTAACTTTATCCGGAATTCTGCCGATTGCTCTTATCATGCAAGCATAGACGATTAACAAATGCTTATAAATACTGATCGAGTTGAAAATAATAAATTGTCGTTCGTGCAACCCCACACTATTAGAAACTCCTTGATTTGAATTACAAAATGTAATGGATTAACAAACTAATATGGATATATTTTGATATGCTAATAAACACGTATTGATGAAATATACCTGAAATGATGATAGTCAATAAAATAATGAGATGTAAGGAATGCTGGAGAATCAGCCTCTGGACCACCCATCTTGCTTCTCCGCTCATTTTGCCGTCGATCGCGACAAACGGTGCGTTACAAGACATGTTAAATTGTTGATGCACCCTTCAGGGAATAGCAATTTTCCCTTTGATTGGGATGTCAGTGAAAATATTCTTGGATCTGTCCGAAGTATCACATAGCAGTACCGGTCTCTGAGAATCACCCGACGGGATATTTCACATCAGCGCCCCTTTATATCTCGGTATTAACTTTTGAAAATACATTATTCATTTCACAAGTGTTCACTTTTCAACAAAACGATATACTTTGGCACTCCGTCACATACGTATACAAAAATACACTTCTGTACGCCGCGCGGTTCACAGCAGAGCTTCGCCTGACAGATCGAAGAACGGACTAATGCCAGAAATTCAACCTGCACTCTTCTCCTTCTCTCTTCCTCTGCGCGCTCTTCTCCCTCCCTCCATCCCTTCTCCGCTCCGCTTTGTCTGTTTTCATCCCCAACACCCACGTTCATGGCGGGACCACAGAATCCGCTTTGTAGTTCCAGGGGTGCTCACTGGAGGTCAGGTTGATACAGCGATTGAAGCTGTAGCGTCGAGAGCGCTGTGTTCGTCCTGGGCGCTTTGGCATCCACCTCGTTCGGCGGGCAGAGCCGGGCGAGCTTGCTCAGCAACGAACCGGCAGGCCGGCCTGAGCGGGCCTGAGGCCGGCATGAATCATGTGGAAAGCACAATTACGCAGGCGTACTGCGTAGAAACATTAATGTTTATAATTGTAAATGTTCTTGATAAGACGATTTATAACAGCATACATAAAATATATTTCAGAGGTATTTGTAAACATCATTTAAAAACAGCGCCTAAGGACAACAATTCATTCTTGCATTGTTATTCACGTGTCAAACTCGAATCGAAAATGACGGAGAAGTCAAACCAGTGTATAAACTTGACATACGTAATTTAATTAAGTAACAATTATTTCGTAATTATTCGTTTTTTGATATTATCGCGGTCTGTGCAAATGTAAATATGTTGATATTTCCTCTTAACGTTTTTATTATTAACAATTATGTGTTCGAGAAGGGTTCACCCTGAAGTGTTGGTTGCATGTCAGGTTGAAGTGGCCTGAGTATTTGATTCTACGTCCTTGGGGAAAATTGTACATAGGACAATGTCATTGTTTAAAGAGGAATTGTGATCTCTTTATCATGAGGACCACATTTAAGTTGTTTGTTGTGTGTGGCCTTGCGTGTTTATGGATTGTGTTGACTCTAACGGGAGTCGTGGAGTACCCCGAAATCTTTAAGGTACTAATATGCCCTAAATTATTTTAACGTGCATTTGCAAGGGTAGCGGAACATGGAACAGTTTGAATCCATGATAGCAGTCAGTAGCGTTTATCAGAGTTTTGATTAGTTGACCTTGAAGGTATATGATAGTGTTTGTGTACTGTGTTACCAGTTACATTGCTTCCAGGAGATGGCAGGTCAAACTAAGGAAATTAACTGGAAAACAGTTGATTTATACAACAAACCACTTCCAGAAACCATCAAAAGTTCAAAGGGCAATGTTGCAGTTGCAACAAAAACTATAATAGTTGAAGTAAGTATGAGAAATGAAATTTAAAAGATCATTAAAATTCTGAAATTGGAGGTCCTGTTTATGAAACTCAATTTTTCTTGACAATTTTAGAACTATAATCAGAACAATGGAAATATCACATTACGTTATTAGGAAATGTTACATTTTAGTGAAAGTTTTTAGCTACACCTAACTTACTACTACTTACTTTTCAGAATATCAAAGTATTTTATCGTGAAGCCATTCCACCTGAAGGTGTCTCAGTATCAGGACAGTCAGTACTCCTTCTTCATGGTCGAGCCTTTTCTTCAGAAACATGGGAAAAATTAGAAACACTTAACATATTGGCTGCCTTAGGGCATCGTGTAGTCGCTGTGGATTTGCCAGGTTAGTATATTAGTGTGAGTATATTTACTGATGCCGTCCACCATCTGAAAAATTCATAATATAAGAGAGGATTTTTTACAGGTTATGGAAACACCAAGGAAAAATTCATTGGAAATCGTGCAGACTTTATGGTTTCTCTTTTTGATGCTTTATCTTTGAAGGATGCTCATCCTGTACTAGTGTCACCATCAATGAGTGGAGAGTATTCTGTTGTGTTTTTGAAAGACCATTCAAATATGATATCTGGATATGTGCCTGTTGCTCCTGTTGCAACTAATTCTTTATCTCATTCAGAGCTTCAAAAAGTGGTGGTAAGAATCATATTTATATAATGCTTTAGTTTTAATTAAAAAGATTTAACTTTATATGAATTATATTAATGTGGGAGAAGTCACTTCTTGCAGAACATAATTGGTCTCCTGGGAAAACAGACCTCAGAAAAAAGTTTCAATGCATAGAGATCTTCTGGTATCAAGAATTAATATAATTTGGTGTTTAAATGACTGTTACATCTTTAACTTCATTTAACAACTACTTTTTTATTTTAAATTATTAGTTTAAATTTATAAAATTCATCAGACACTTCATGAATAAAATCATTATATTGTCTTTCTTATTACATAAAAGTACTTCTTCTTCTTCTGCACTTCAAGGGTTAGGTTAAAGAACCTGTTCTGGTGTCCACTTCCTTCTGGGCCTTCCTACATCTCTTCTCCCTCTGCATCTGTAGTCCACTGAGAGTGCTGGTAGTCTGCTGTCGGGTATTCGTATGAGATGTTCATACAATCTTTTCTGATTTCTTTCCAGTTTCTCCAGCAGTGGTTTGACCCCCAGTTTATTTCTTATATCTGTGCTTTTCTTTTTATCTAGGATATTATAACCTAGAGTGCTTCTTGGAAATTTCATTTCAGCTGCCTGAATTTTAGAGTTATTTGTTTGATGTTACTCTTGCTTCATCTCCATACATTAATACTGGCACAGCTACTGTGTTGAAGAACTTTATTCTTGTATCTATCCTAGTTTTATTTTTTAGATGTATGTGTTTTGTGTTGCATATATTTCTAAGTTTATTTAATTTTTTATCTAAATCTCTCTCTCTTTCAATCGAGATGTGGCAACCTAGATATTTGAAGTATTTTACCTGTTCTATACTCTTCCCTTCTATCACAATCTTTGTTCTCACTGGGTATTTTCCTTTATATGCCATAGTTTTAGTGTTTTCTTTGGATATTTTAAAACCATATAAAATAGAATTTAAAAATATTTTCCTAAAATAGATCCCTCGATCTATATTCAATTTCCACGTTCTAAACATGTCTTCCATCTATATATTGAAAAGTGTCAGTGATATGCAACAGCCCTGTCTTACACCTTTGTTGGTGGGAATCTCTTCTGTCAATTTTCCTTTTATAACCAACTTAATACTCGTTTACTCGTTGTTTCATGTACTTCTTTTCTCACCTCTATCAAGGGTTTTGGGTACCCCCTTCTTTCCATTATGTTTCACAGAAGGTTTCTATTGACATTATCAAAAGCTTTTACTATATCCACGAATGTTAGGTGTGTTTCACAGTTGTGTTCACATCTTTTTTCTATTATTCTTTTTAATGTGAAAATGGCATCAGCAGTCGATCTGCCTTTTCGAAATTCCATTTGTTCTTCTGATATAAGGTGGTCTGCTATTATTTTTAATCTTTCATTTATTATTCTTGCAAAGATCTTGTATGTTGTATCCAATAGACTTATTCCTCTGTAATTGTCTGGGTCTCCTCTGTTACCTTTCTTATAAAGTGAGATTACTTTTGCTTTTTGCCATTCTTTAGGAGTTTGTTTATTTCTCCAGCACATATTAAAGAAATGAAGCAGGCGTAGATGAAATAACATTTCGGAGTATTTTAGTAGTTCTGTGTTCATGCCATTCATACCTGGTGCTTTTCGATTTTTGCATTTATATATTTATTAAGTGCTTCATGTAGTTCATCTATCGATAGGTAATCTGCATATGTAGTTGTGTATGTTTTTATTATTTCACATTTCATCATACCATAATGCTTTATAATGTTTTACCCATCTTTCCTTTTCAATTGCATTAATATGTACATTCTCTCTTTCGTTATTATTCAATATTTTCATTACTTTGTAGGCTAATGTTTGTCGCCCATAAATATCATGTTCTATTCTTCCAATAAATCTTTCCCATGAATCGGCGTGAGCTTTTCTAATAATTGTTTTTACTTTATTTCTAGCTTTTTTGTATTCTTCCTTGTAATTTTCAGTAGGGTTGTCAAGGTATATTTTGTATCTCTCCTGTTTAAGCTTAACACTTTTTTCGATATCATCATTCCAAATTTTCAAACCTTTTCTTTTTTGAAATTTCTTTTTCCATCCTACTGCTTCATCTGTGGATTCCTTTATTATTTGCTGTATGTTTTGCCATTCTTTTTCTATTTCCTCCTCTGTGATAAGATTTTGAAGATTTTTATTTATTCTATTTTGATATAGGTAGGTATACTTTATATACTTCTTTTTTATCATTCATTATGAATCTTGAATTATTTTTCACCCGTCTTTTTAATAATATTGTACAGGATATTTCTAGAAAGCGATCAGAGTTTATAAGATTGTGCTTCTTTTACTGTTGTATCTTCTATTAGTTTTGATTTTCTTTGATTTCCAATTTTATAATCAATGATGGATCTACTACCTCATGCTGACCATGTATATTTATGAATGTCTTTTTTCTTTTTAAATGTATTTGCAATATATAGTTCACTGAAGGCTGCGAATTCCCTCAATTTTTCTCCATTGTAATTTTTTACACTTTCTCCCCACTTTCCTACAGTCTTTGGTATACTCTCATTCTCTACATAAAAGTAGTTCATAAATATTAATTCATGTAAATGTTAATTTAAGAATGTATGCTTAAAATTTAGTAATGTGTTTTTGCATGCAATCATTTTAAGCAAACGAAGAATGTGATTCTAATACCACTTCACAGGATGATGTGGTGCAAATTTATTTGTTTCAGTTTTCATTCTTAGAACTATTTCTTATTGCATTCTGAATATGTTCATTATTGTGCTACTTTAGATATAATCTCTTGTGATAAACCTGTTAGTATTGATCTCAGTGTAGGTCAAAGATGAATGTGGTACAAACTTCCATGTGCAATTCTTGTTTCTGGTGACTTCTGGAAGTATCAGAATTGTTTTATTCTAATGAAAGTTTATCTTGTGAATATTTGGTCAACTTTTGAAACTAATTTACTTTCCTCATTTCTTAGTTATAAAATTTAGAATAAGATTCATTCTTTGCCATTCTTGTTTTCAGGTTCCAACACTTATTGTGTATGGCAGTGAAGACAACACTGGTCTTGCTGAAGCATCTTTGCAAAATCTACAAGTATTACCAAACAGCCGTGAAATCAAAATTGAAGGAGCAGGACATCCTGCTTATCTGAATCAACCTGCTGTCTTCCATAAATTGTTGCATAATTTTCTTCAGCTTCTGAAATAAGTCAGAAAATAGCCATATTTTGATATTTTTGGCATATTTTCGTAGTCTGACAATTGACAAATGTTATGGGTTGGATATGGTGCTGTCCATAAACAATTAGAATGAAGGTGGTAGAAATTTGAATAGAAATCTGTGTAAAGATTCTTCATTACTCCTTGGAATTTTTTATTGTTAAAGCAAAGTTTATGTAGTTTGTTTTGTTATTTGTTCCATGAAGTGTTTGCTAATTTTGTAAAAATGGATTTTGTTTACATATTCCAGTTTTTGTTTTATTGTGGTTTTTACTTAGTTATTATTTGATTTGGTTTTATTTTAGTTTTCATATATTAATTCATAAGAGTGTAGATTCATTTGCCTTTTTTCCATTCTTTGTAAGACTTTCACCAAATAATACTTTGAGGCAACTGACATGAAATTTAAAAGATACAAATGTATTTTTTCTAAAATGCAGGATTATTTTTTTTCAGAAACGAAAGTGAAATATTGAGTGTTCTAAATATTTTATTTAGTAGAATAGCTCCAACAACTAGAGCCATTTAACCCATCCCATCTATTGCTGAGGGAAACATAATAATATATTCTTTCTCTATTCAATCCTATTGAATGCCTTCATTTTGTCAGATTCCACGAGAGAGTGATGTCAGATAAGTTGATCAGTTGATTTAAAAATTGAAGCACTGTTATGATGGCTGGCTTGATACGCAATGAACTTTTCCCTACATAACTTGATATACTGACAAGTCCCATTGATCAAATTGTGTTGTATTGCATGAAAGTAATTATTCAGAATAATGATAAACAAGTTTAAAAGTTTTTGCTTGTGGGTGATAGTATTTCAAAAGAGTCATGCCCATTTTACAAGTTTCTTCAGTGAAAATCATTACCCTTTGTGAGGTCTTTTATTGGGAAAATATTGCAATATTGTGTTGGTTAAAACCAAATACTAGGGCTTAAATATTTGTAATGTTTACAAATTCTCTTTCTGAAGAAGAAAGACAGACTAGTTATTATTTATGGACAGAACCAATATTTCCATTATACAGAATCAAATTATGTACAGAAAATCCTACCTTTGTTAAGAGGACCAAATAATTTAAATTCATTGAAACTGCAATAGTTTCTCATGGTTGTGTTTTGATATATTTAATATAGATAGTTACTACTAGAATTTTTTCAACTTTGAAATCTGCTGGCATTGCTGGTTGTTCTTTATTATCTCTCTCCAAAAATAAAAGTTCTTTTTTGTTTTTATATAAAGAAAGCACTTCTGATAATATAAGACTGGAAATATTTTATACAATTTTAAAAGTCAAAATGCAGTAGTGCTTGGTAATTTGATATTAGCTATGTCTTCAAATTTGAACATTTCCTTGACTATCTTCCCCCTGAACGTTTATCTAGTATTGTAGTTTATTTGAGATAAGTAGATCCAACAGAATTTTACTTTTATTCCTCATTCATGATTTTTATTGAATCATATGAGGATTTTATGACAAGACCTTGAGTAAATAATTGATTTTTAAATTTTTTATCAAAATTTGATGTGAAAAGCTTAAAAAATTTGAATGAAGAGTACAAGTTTGAAATTGAAAAGCTACAATACTCATTAAGTCTTGGTTTATATTGAGAGAATGTTACTCTGTTGTGTCTACAGATTTCTGAAATACTCATAAAACATCCAATATCCTCTTAGAAAAAAAGAGGTATGTATGAAATGGTGTAGGAATATATTGTAAATACCAATTTTAGTCAAAATTAAAACTTTTGAAGGTGATAAATTAAGCTAATATATGTTTTCATAAAAGTTTATACTTGAGTGAAAGTTTTGTACTCTTTTTAAACATTTGCTAATGAAATATGAGAGGCACATTTTGAATACTTTGTTGCTGAGAACTGTGAAGTATCTTTAAGAAATATTCTTCCATGCCATAATTTACAACATGCTTATCTTAGATTGTTATCAATATCTCTTTGAGACGACTTCCCTCTTTAAAAATTATGTACATACTTCATAATATGAAAATAATTTCAACTAAAAATGTACAATATCCAAAGGATGATTTAGTAGTATTTTTCATGTGAGTATCGCTAGATTATATTCATATGTGCAATGCATATACATAAGACTGTAATATGATTATCTTTTGTTTTGCACTGCTGGTGGATAAAATTGAATGGCTTTATGCATCAAGCAGCCAAGGAACATTTCCTACCTTTTGCAGAATAAAAAATAGAATGTTTAAAAATCCTGTTGATGGAATTTTGTTCACTATTGAATTTGGTGGAATGGTTGATTTTGATGGAATTCTGTTCACTATTTCTTATCGATCTAGAAATTATCAAGATTTTATGTATAAAGAAAAAGTGCTGATATTTTGCATAGGATTAGTTCATCCTCAAACACATCAGGGACAATAAGATTATTGAGCACTGAAACTATTACTGAGCAAATTGGCACAGAGTTTACTGATATTTAATGCCATTCAATTACATATTAAAAACATGTGAATTCACTAAATAGGTTAATAATGTCTATGTTTGAGCAGTTGAGGTTTATTGATTCTCATTGTTTGAAAAAGTATAATATAGTGACTTTTGTAAAGGAAGGGTATTGAGTGCATTTTCATCACTTAAGGGGATAGGTTCCATTATTGTGAAGGGAATTTTGATGATTTTTAGAATATCATTTATGTATTAATGTAGCATTTTATACTCAAAGTTAGGAGTGTTTTTTTAGCAGTCTTCACATTAGAAGAAAAGGATGTTTGAATAAAAAAACAAGAGCAAGTATCATATTTTTAATTTGAACCGTACTCTTCCAAAAATGTTGCCATTTACTGTTTCCCTAGAAAGACTACTTTTAATTTTTCTTAATTGAACAATGTAAGAATAAGAAAAAACTTATGTACAAGATTTATAAGGGTATTTATGGTGGTAAATTACAACCTTTTTTTCTCATTTCTCATTGAGAAACAGCAGTAAATTAAAGTGTATGATAGTGTAGGTCTGATCTTAGTCTTCACATTTCATAGATAAACTTAGTGCTTTAGTCATATGACTTGGTGGAAGATGTGTTGCAAAACTCTGATTTGGAGTTGCAATTAAGATGGCGCTAGTTTAATTATTATGTATAATATTTAAATACAGTTGCTGATGGCAGCCCTGAGCTCTATGGAATTTCAGAAGAGGCATTGATACTTTACAAATGGAAAGGATTGCATTTGTCTGTGCAATTGTCTGTGTTTGTGCAGTTTCACAATTGTATTTCAATGAACAAACATGTACATCAGCTACATCTTAGTAGCCGTAGGCATCATGTAGATGACATTTTTATTAATATGAAATATTCGTTAGAAAATGAAGCTAAATAATATCTCTCTCCAATTGTATGTAATAGAAGAGGGATTCCAACCAACAAAAGTAGAGTGTAATAAGGAGGGTTCAGACGATTGGATAACACTCAGGAATCAAGTCAAAGAGACATTAGGCGTAGAAAATCCTGTGATTAATGAAATCGAGTTTATCAAACATTTGGGATAAAAAACTTCAAATTCTGAAAGATTTACATAAAAAGAAACAACCATCTTTATTTTCCTTGTCATACCCATGATGTTAAGCAATGGTTTTTAATATGATCATATTATTAATAGATGCACTAACTTCAAGATAAAAATTACATTTTTTTAAAAGTGTTGTACTCTGGATTTGAGTTGAAAAGTTATCTCAAAACAATTTTATAAAATATGCAAGAATGCACTTTGGAGAGAAGGTGGACTGTGGGGATTTCACCAGTGCAGAAATAAATAGCATTATCACCATTTAAAATATTTGTAAATTGAGAAATGATCCAATTATAATTTTGAAATTATATCATGGAGATTCAAGTGCATGGGAATTTTTATATTTGCGTTTTGAAAAATGTTTTATTGAGCCTAGATAACTGTACCTTAGAAACTATACAATTTTTTACTTTGTGTGTGAGAAAGTGGTACACAATTGTACTTGTTACGAAAATCGTTGTTTTCATACATGGTAGGGAATAATGTGTGTTTGTCAGTGTAAAAAAAACTTTAAAACTTGAATAAGAAGGCTGTAATCAGATAATATTACAAGGACATCTCTGGTGATGTTTCTGCCATTTGGTACTCAAATCAGGATTTACAAATTAAACATTATTTTCATTTTTCCTTTTGCTCGCCATTGGCGTTCATCCCTATGTAGCTAGTTATGGGCTCCATTTTAGGTTCAAAATAGTATATCACTATTACAGTATGTGTTCCTGAACCTGAATTATAGTATTATATTTTTATGACCCTGAATTTTCCTGAAGATATCAAACAAGAAAACCTTGACACAGGTTTTCATTGGAGAATTATGCTTTAAAAGAAAAATCAAATTCTGAAATCTTTTCAATTATGTTAGGATTAAATAATCTCAAAAATGATTGGATTTTGTTTCAGAGAATTCAGTGTGAAAGCTCTTGGAGAATGTTGTGTATTGAACTGCAGTTTTTAAATATATTGCATTTGGTTAGTTTGTTTTTGCATAAATGTGTAAGTGTTCCTTTTACCAAAACATGTGGAAGTGAAGGAAAGGATTCGTGGAAGTGCAATCTTGGTGATAATATAATATGATGAAGGTGATAATACTTTCTCTTAATTATTTGAAGAGAAAATAGCATACATGGGAAAAAAAGTTCGTAGTGTTTGTTTAATGCAAGGTTTTTTGTGACCTCATTAGTAAGAAGAAAAAATATCTCAAACCATTTTCACCACTGTGCAAATATCTTCAATGTAATTATAAAAGATTACTATACTCCTGTAGTCCTTGAAATGTGTTTCTTTAAAGTAGAAGAGAAATGTGGAGAAATAAAGTATTCTTCACAGAAGGTAATCTGAGGTGTATTATTGCATTACATTTATCATTTAAAAGGAAATGTTTTGGGAAGTTATTATTGTCTCAGTGTTTTAATACTTAGTGTTACTTTCTTAAATGTGGTTTGTTTATCAATTCTAATAAAAGCTAAATGTGAAATAAAACACATTTAGTGGAATCTTATTAGCAGGCTTTTCAAGGGACCAAAAATGTTGAATGTCATAAGCAGGAAAACATGTTATGTAAAAATGCTCAATTAATACTTTTCTCATTTCCTACTTCTGATCGCTGTAACTCTGAAGATAAATTAATGTAAGTGTTAATAACACACATTTACACTTGTGATAATTTAATTGCAACTAATATACTGATTAAAATTAAATTTCACGCAAATAATTCACAAACACAAAACTATTAATATTATCCCAATTAAAAACAACAAATTAGCATCCTGAATCTTTCAAATTTGAAGTAACAAATTTAATCCTTTATGTTTCGTCATGTTTTCAGGCCAAGTAGCATTTGGTTTAATTGGCAAATAATCCACAATATGCTGAAATCAATGCACATTGAAGATTCTTCTACACCACAAAAATTGCAATTCACATCACTGAAACAAAGACTGTGCTCAGCAAGATGGATAAATTCATGAATGATTACATAAGGGGAATTAGGACTTAAAAATATGGATATGGAAAAATGCAAACCTAGTTTTTTAAGTGGAAATTTATTTTTTATTGATTAAATGCTTCCATTGTTGAAAAGATGCCACTTTTTAATCACATTTGAGACTTTTTTTGATCTTCAGACAGTGTGGTTTAATAGAAATAAAGTGAACTATGAAATTAACTCATTGAAATTTTTGTTAATTTTTGGAATAACAGTAAATATTCCTTTTCTGACAACTGAATTTGTAATTTTGATTTCATTGATCATCTAATCATAGCCTGAATATTACATATGGAAGTTTCACACATTAAAATTAAGTAAAGAGTTGGTATTGTTAGTGCTTGAAAGTCAGTGAGATGTACAAAACACTGGTACAAGGGGAATGAAATCATTTAATATAAGAGCAATAATAAAAATAGGTATAAAATGGATTACATTATTTGTTTAATTAGACTGAATTTTCTTACAACTGTGTATTTTTTGATATAGCTAGCAAGCAAGCTGGTGTGGGTGATGTTGAGTAATGACATTTGTGCTCTGAAAGTGTTATTTGAAGAGGCAGAGTGCTTTGGCACTCTCTGACTTCTTTAATTTTTAGTGTTGGGCACTTTTACTTTTTAGGGAGAGATTAAAATTATGTTCTTTGCCGTTAAGAGAATTAATTTAATTTTCATTCTTTAACATTTCTGGTTCTATGTTCAGTTAAGAGAAATAAAGTTCTGAAATTGCCTAATGTCACAGTAATTGCTTCCAATAGTGTACTTTTTTAACAATCATTAAAACAAGTTATGAGATAAAATGTGATTTTTGTACTTTTCTGATACTAATGTTATATGTTAATGTGTTTTCTTCACAAAGTTTTAGTGAACATGTAATTGTCACTATACATGAGTGATTTTAATAAACACGTGAACTTCCTTTCATTCAGAAAGGTTGTTAATATCAGTGTGTATCAATAAAAATAAATAGAAAATAAAATTCAAAAACAGAAATAAGTAGACATTGAAATTATACTGTACGTATTTTGTTGGTGTCAGTGTATAAATAAAATTGTTTATGTCATTATTGAGGGTAATTATTTTTATTCCTATCCTTACATTACTGATTCCAAACATAAAATGAGTCTTTAAAATGATTGTGTGAGTGCAAGGTGCACTTTGCCAGGTGTGATGTTTATGAGATTGAAAGTGGAGAGAAACAAAAGTAGAGCTTGTCATTTTTGAAGTGTTTTAAGATTTAGTTGATTGCATTTCTGACCTACCAATTTTAATGTCATGTTTCACAAAAGCTGACAAACAATTCCAATTGCACAATTTTTGGTAAGAATTTTAGTACTATAATAAGCACTTAAGACACAAACAGATAGTTCTTCTATTAATTGGACCAAAAATATAAAACTACAGAAAAAGGGAAGGAAGTAAGAATGTCTATTATTTTCTATTTTTCTCCTTCATGCACATAGAAATGTAGTAATGGATTTTTAGCTCAATAATCCAGTACAGAATACGGTTATAAAGAAATAAACAGAAGGCGACATGTTCAGATAACAGGTCAGTATTCTTCTGTTTTCAAAATAAATTGAGATTCTCACAGTACCTGAGTCCATAAAACAAATATTGAATTTCTTGAGAGTAGGTATCTGAGATTTAAGAAACAAAGAGCTGTTGGAAAACATTAGACCATAATCATTCAAGAAATATTAATAACAGAGCCATGTCAGTCCTGACTGCTTGGTAGGTGAACTATTAGGAAAGTAAATTCAAAGACTCAATGTCTTGCGATTTGGTGTTTCTCAACAGCTCTCTCTATGCAGTAAATTCCACTATGCTTTACTTTTATACTCATTAAGAAATGTGTTATTATTTTATGTTCTATATGAAGAAGTGATCAAAGATCTTGAAATGTTACTTGTATAACTTTGCAATGAAATAAGATTATTAATTTCCATTTGGTAAAATAAAATAATACTGATTGTTCGAATTCCGGTCAGGGAAACCAATTCTTTGAATAAATTTAATGATTAAAATGTGTTGTTACTGAGTAACATACTCACGGTTTGGATTTCTTTACGATTACGAACCTTGTCTCTCTGAGCGTAATTGCATCCAATAAGATGACGGAAAAGGCAACAATTAAATACCGATTGTCTTTTATTAAAATCATACATTCCCTACTCATTATTTTCCATAATATTCATGCACATGTTTGTGGTGATCATTGAACCTTTCATTTTTGAGTAATGTACTTTTGATCTGAAAATGGATTTGAAGATGGGTAGGATTGGAGGTCACAAAAATATTCGTAGGTTCTTAGTTGAAATGACAAAATTAGACAGACAAATGAAATGAGGAAAGCTAAACAAGGTCACTTGAAAAAAGATACAAAAGAAAAACCAATAATATTGTAGATGTGTGAGATTAGTGCAGTAAGGGTTATCCAAATAAGTTTTGAGACACCGACCAGAAAGCAGAAGGACCCAAGAAGAAACAATAGAAATTCTTTGAGAACAAGCCATACTGTATTAGCAATCCTTAACACACTACTCTTTTGTATTTAATTATGATTATGGGTGAAAAGAAAATTACATGCATCTCATTCTACATACTATCATTTTTATTGACACATTTTGTCTAACAAAACCATATATTGTTTTATGTAATTATTCATTCATTCTATATTTTGTACAGTTACTTCACATCCATTATATTTCATAACTGTTTTCATCTAAAGAAGAAGAATTATTAAAAATATACATAATATTTTCATTCACAAAAATGTTGACATATTTGTGCACATTGTCAAATGAGACAAATGAAAGTAAACAAAAAATAAGTTAGTTTGTGTTATTTTCTGATTAATGTCAATATTACCTTCAAAATTTACATTGTATTTTGAGCAGTGCTTGCTTGAAATGAATGAACCTAAAATGACTAGAAATAATCAATTTAATGTTAGATAAATAAGATAAATTGTCATTCTACTATTGAGAATTATCTTATTAAATTCAGGCAATTTGATATAAAGAAATTATATAAATTAAAACTCATTTTAATCAGAAAACTAATTCTGCTTCTCATTGTTAGTACAATGTACAACAAGACAATTATTACAGAGGAGGAAATTTTTTATGATTCCACTATCTATAAGTGCATTAAAAGACATGAACAACAGGAAGTGCAAGTTCTTAGATTTTGATTTTAAATTATTTTGAGAGCTGAGATAAGTTTTATTTCTTTCAAATTGAAATTTTTTTAAAATCACAAAAATAAATGCTGTAGCAAGTGCTTTTAAAATAGCTAAAAATAATATAATATGTTAAAAAAAAAACAGTTCAATTTGCGAATATCTTATTACAAACAAAATTGATGTACAGTAATTAGCAGTGTGTAATATCATGTGAGAATAATAAACTTATCTGTTTGGTTTACCTTTATTTGTCACATTTGAAACTGCCATTCCAACGGTATCTAAACACTGTACACTATGTAGTTTATCCATAACTTAACAATAACAGATATTTTAGACATTCATTTCAGCATTAAACATTAGCTGATCAACAGCTCTTAAATGTATATTCACATAAAATTTTTAATCTCCATTAACTAACAGAATATTTATATTTGTCAAACAGAGATATGCAAGTTTGTATCAAATTACAACTCCCATTCAAAAATAGAAGGAATATTTCTTGAAAATACAAATTATTTCTAGTCCTTATTAGATTTGTGAACACTGCAACTCCATTAGGCAAATATATTCCTCTTAAGTTGTTATTGAGTAAATGTTAATTTGGTATATTTTGTTTCTTCTAAGCTATGAACTTCCTTCTAAATTTTGTAATTGTAATGTTATTTTGGTATAGTGTGTCAATTATTTGTGGATATTGATACCAGTTACAAAATATAGTTTTCATGAAAGTTTGCACATTAGATCTCAAAATGAATGAAACAACTACAACAAAAAATCTAAAACTGCATTGAGAACATTTTTTTCTACAGGTTTGATAAAACAGAGGAGCTTGGAATGTAAGTGTCCAGTAGAAACAATGCTTTGAAAAATTAGTTTTCACACGAAAAACCATAGAACATGTTTGTCTCAAAGAAGAAATAGTAAAAAACAAAACAAAAACAAATTTGTTTGAAATAGGTAAGTTCTATGTATAAGAATATTGAAAACATTAAAACTTTGGTTTGGACACTTCTTTCTCAAGTTACTATTTGAAGTTTGTCTTTGTGTTAGTTGAGAAAGATGTTCCATAGAAGTTTTAGAACTCTCATGTCCCTGCAGTTCACTAAGAAGATCTTCATTGTCTTTTTAATTAAATTCTACTAGATAAATTGTAAAACATTCATAATTGGTATATCATATCCTTTTAATATTAATTTTCATGATAGTAAGACTTGCAATTTACACAGGAGTTAATATTCCATCTGTGGTTCATCTCATGTTACCTTCAAATGTTCTGTATCATATATCTTGAGTTTGAGCAAATATTTGAGCAGCAATTTCAAATTTCATGACCCAAATTGCAAGAATTTTTAGCTTATATGAATGTGTCAACTTTGACAATTTTTGACTCATAAGAATATTGGAATTCTGTTTGTCATGAAGCTTCTCAAATCTTTAAAATTTTCTTTTTATATTATGTTTGAGTTAAATAATAGATTACTTGACAAACAATCATTTTATTATCAAAAAACATAATTCAGTTTAACTTTTACAATCTTTGGTTAAAAATATGGTTGTTGTATAGAAATGAAAAAATTACATTTATTTACATATAAAACGTTCATTTAAATTGATGGCATAGTTGTAGGTGAGGCAGCGGACTTGTATGAATGCTTGTACACCATACATTTTCATTGTAAAGACTCAGTCCAATATGTCTCCCGATAAGCAATACTGTATAATTTTCTAGAATTTACATAATTCTTTTGCAACGTTTAAGCCCAAAATTATTTTTCATTTATCAGCACGAACATAAAGTGTACATTCATAAATCTTTTCAGTTTTATTAAAAAAGCATACTACTTTGTAGTGTTGTATTAACATTTCCAATACTCCTTAATAATTGATGTTAACCTGCATCCTGCAAAGGGGTAATATTAAGACTTAATCATTTTAAAATGTATTTAAACACAAATGGCTTGTGGCAATGTAAGGATCCATTATCTTCTTTACTATTCAATATAAGATATAACATGCCCTACAGTTTTCCTGTCACCTTTCTTTTTATTTAGTTTTTTGAAATTTCAATATTTATGTCCATACTGAGATCTAATTTGCTGTTATACATTTTTCATTGGACAATTAAGTCACTTTGAAATTAAATGAGCAAAATTTGCAAGGAAAATTGTTTTGCTTTTATAATTTGTGGAATTAAATTATTTTCCTCTCTCAAAATAATTGCATCAGGAACACCAAAATAAATTTTAAAACGAGAATTACGTATATTTAATTTTATTAGCTGGATTTACATTGCAGAGACAGTTTTAGTTACAGTTATTTGTGAGTAATCACCAATTTTGCAACTTCAGTGTATTTTTTTCAAATTTTGATCAAATTCGCTATTCATCAATATCAAGTATGTACGTATTGGACTACACAGTTAAGGGATGTATGATACTGAAGTATTTGAAAATATTAATTTGATATAACATTCTAATTTTCTGGTTTGCAGTTTTGCTCATTCTGAATTAATATGAGTCATTAATGTGTTTATGTACTGGCCTATTTTAAAACATCATCACTGAGGTCAATTTTCAATTCAGTTTACCCCACAAGGATTTGTAATAAAATTCTCAACTATTCATGCATTCAGTCACTTCTGTGCTGCTTCACTGGGTAAGAAATAGAAGATCCAATAAACCGCATTAAAAAGAATAAATGAGACAGGAAATATTATACGTGAATATTTATCTATCACATTCACATCCTTTATTTTAGGAATGGATGACTTTAGAGCAGATGCACCTTTCTTGAGAGCATGAATTACTTTTGGCCGATGTTCTCGTTCTGATGGATGACCTCGTCGACGAAAACGTAAGCCTCCTGCAGTTCTTACTGGAATTGTGTAACTTGGAGATCTTGGACGAAAACTTGGGGGAAATTTTGAGGGATCCATTCCCTCTGTTGATGATGCAGAATAACGACTATTGTGTCTGTTTCGTATGGAAGGAATTGGTGACATTCTTAGATCTTGAAGTTCAATGATTTCTTGATGTGATGATGATGCAAATCCATCAGTTGCAGTAGAAACAGCAGCTCCACTTGGCACTGTTGATTTTGGACCTAGAGAAAAATTACCAGAGGAGTTGTTCTGAATTCAATTTAATGCTCAGATTTAAGAAGAAAGAGTATTGTAAAGTAATTTACAAGACATAAATTTCCAAAATTATATATTTTTTGTAATTTTGAATATATGATGTCATAACAAAATTACATATGACTCAATTTTGACATTGCTTCCCCCGTTTGGAAGGCAACTTATCCTGCTCTGGTGTTTGGCAGGTAAACAAACACTCAGGCAATATGGCAATGAAAATATCTACTTTTTAATCTTTATTGTTCAGCTTTGAGTGCATTTGAATGTGCATTGCCATTACCATGCATGTATCAATCGTCAAGGCTGTCAAATTGAGAAATTTCTGTATTCAAAGTTGAATAATAACAACAATAACTATGTCTATTGCAGGTGACTAGGTCGAACCCTGAGAATTCATTTTACTTTGAAAACACCAGTGCAGAACACATCTACCAATCACAGGAATTATGTCAACATTGTTTAATTTTTTATATGAGATTTCTCACCAAATGAGATAGACATTGTCCCACCTTACATGCCCTAGACATTTGTAACATTTATTTGGAGACTCTTTGAAATCTTGAAGTGTGTAATATATTAGGAAAAAATAGTTATTTATTTCATCCAACAAATGAAAACATAAGACATAATCGTGGGCATCATGAGCACCTCTGGAAAGTGAAATTTGAGGGGGAACATATGAAACAACTCATTTAGTGTGCAATTGTAAAACACATAAACACAACACAATATTTCAATACTAAACTTGATTAATTGCTAGAAGTTAATCTTTTTCTATTTGCAAAATCAATTATAAAATGAAAATTAAATGACAGAAATTATAAATATTTGATCTGAGGTGGTGTTTCTCACACTGGTAAAACCCATGAAACATCTCTAAAATTAATTCGAGACACACAAGAAAATAAAACACTCATGACAAAACTTAAAATTATAACTTTTCCCTATGAAATGTTCATGTTAGAAAAACAGATTACCTTGGACTTTCTTTTCTTCAGCTTCCTTTGTTTTCTTGCTCTTCTTTTTAGCACGTGCACCCCAGTAAGTATAATTTACAGCTGCATATTCTAGCAATGCAGCAAATACGAACACGAAACACATCACCAAATAGATGTCAATGGCCTTTACATATGATATACGTGGCAAAGAACTTCTCACTCCAGTACTAATTGTGGTCATTGTTAATACAGTTGTTATTCCTGAAACAATATTATATTCACAGTGAACAATGCAAGACTAAGTTTAATTTTTGTCATTCACAAAGAAATGAATTGTCATGAAGATCGAAATTACATTGGGTTCAAATTTAGTATACGGTACACCTTAAGAGAAGCGTGGCGGCGATGGGGGGAGGGGAGGGGTTGGAG